TGGATCCGCCAGTGAGTCAATCAGAGCAGTAACGGTGGCAGCTGGGGCCAAGCCAGTGCTAAATATTTACTGAAACATTCCATTAAAAATCTGGCCTCTCTCCACAGCAGCCCAAGTAACGTTGCCGTAAAATTGAAGAAATTTTCTTTTTGAATTTTGCAACATTTTGATTTAAATGCTTCTTTTTTTTTGTTTTATTAAAGCCGCTAATGCTAGGCTGTTTTAGATTGACATATTTCAAATGTGTGTTCTGGAATTTCCGGATGAGAACCAGCCATTCTATCACATGGAACGTTACATTGAAGGCGAATACATCAAGTATAATTCGAATTCGGGCTTCGTCTCTGGCATTCATCGTAAAACGCCACAGGTTAGCTTCGCTGTCACGAAAAATTTAAAGTGTGCAGAAAGTTTAAATTAAATTTCGAAAAATTTTTGGGCGACGAATTTCGAAAAGCTTTTGGATGAAATGATTTGAGTGTGCGCATTTGCAGGCTTTTAGCCATTTCACATTTGAACGCAGCGGTCATCAATTGATCGTGGTAGACATTCAGGGAGTGGGCGATTTATACACCGATCCGCAAATACATACGGTTTTTTGTTTTATTCGATTGTATTACCTTTCCATTTTGTCTTATTAATGCGAGATGAGTAATAATTTTTAATTTAAAATTACGAAAACCAAAAAATTGAAAATTTTGGGAATTTTGGGATTTCCCTGGTTTATTGTCCTAAAATCTGCTCCTCCACTCCTCACTCATTGCTTCAGTAATTGTTATTGTGGAGTTATCTTTACTCTATTTGCCATCCCTATAAGTCATTACGTTCAAACCAGAAACCAAATCACTGTGTTTGTTTTGCAGTGAGTGTTTCTGGTGAATTTCTTTGTCTGTTTAGGGGCATTTTCAAGATAGAATTTGATTATTGCATTTGCTGGCGTAGCACATCCACGAACGAATGTTGTTTCAGGCATCGGGTGAAGGTTACGGGAATGGGAATCTGGGCACAAAAGGGATGGCGTTGTTCTTCCATTCCCATCTTTGCAACGATATTTGCCGATCGATGTGCCTGACAGAGTTCGATCTTGCTGAAACAGAGAAAACTGCTCTTTTGGAAGGCAACAATCCCGAAACGGTTATATTTCGATTCGTTTCCAGTCGAGGTTGTTGAGTTCTTGTAATTGTTGTTGTTTTGTTCGAGTTTTGTTTGTTTGTTTGTACACTATGTACGTGTTCAGGCTGTTTTTTTTTTCTTCCTTTTCAATTTGCCTCATATTGCAGTTTTGAGAGAAATGAAGATACTGGTT